TTTACTTTTACTTTACTTTTACTTTACTTTTACTTTACTTTTACTTTCTTATTTTATTTTATTTTTTCTGCACCGTCAGTCTCACCCAAGTGACTGGGGAATCTATAACAATTTGAGTAAATATGTAAAGATTTTGTCACTAATTACACTTCAGGGCTGTTTATTTTGCATTCTTAAAAGGGCTGTTGGTTTTTGTCATTACTCATGTAAATTTTTGTTTTCAACAGACTAAGATGTTTAGTGAAGCAGCTGGAGAAAGGTGATGTGAACGTAGTTGAACTGAAGAAGAACATTGAATATGCAGCATCTGTTCTGGAGGCAGTATACATTGATGAAACCAGGTGAATTTTTGGAACTACTTTGATCTCCATTCATTCCTCCTATTATCTTTTCAGGGACAGCACTATGTTTTTTAAAGCAGGGGTCGCCAGCCTTTTGGACCTCAGGGACCACAAACTCATAATTTTTAAATCCCATGGACCAGAGACCCTGGGAAAATCCCAAAAACAGTGTGCAGGAAAGTTCCCTACCCCCATTTTCTTACCGATCGATCATTCTTTATTTGGGGTCACAGGATACCGTCTCCAGCTCCATTCTCGGGGGGGGGGGGAGAGACTTTTGGCTTCATGCAAGGAAAGCAGCAGAAGTAGCAGAAGTCTTTTTCTCCCCCAAACTCCACCAGAAATGAGTCTTTGTGAGGCTTGTTGTGCCCGCACAGCCTCTTGGAGCAGGATGCTTTGCAGGCTCCCAAAGACCTCATTTCTGGTGGAATTTGGGGTGGAGTTTGGGGAGAGAAAGATGGCTGCATGCTTTCCTTGCATGCAGCCAAAAGCAGAAGAAAGAAGAAGAAAGAAGCAGCCCGGTGGCCAGGCTAGGCATGTGGGGCATGTGGACGAGTGGGGCAAGTTCCCCCCTCTGCCCTTCCCCCCTCACTACCTCATGTTGTTCGCACTGCAAGCTACACAAGCCTTGTGTTTCCATGGGCCATGTGGTGGTGCAGCTTTGTGTTCCCACGCAGCCTGGATTAATTGCTTTGGGGGATGCTTTGGGGGTAACATTTCTCTGTGGACCACCAACATTTTCTCACAGACCAGCAGTGGTCCCCAGCCCATTGGTTGGCAACCAATGTTTTAAAGGTTTGTAGGGTAATACAGAAATGCAAATAAGGCAAAGAATGCAATTATGCTATTTTTTATATAGATATGTTTTGAATACTTACAATAAATTATTTTTTGTGCATCATAAATAAGGTGTGTTTTTTAAAAAATAAAAAAAAATCCTGTCTAATACATATCTGAATTGTACTGAAATAATTTCACAGCCAGTTTCTCATTTCTCATTTATAATTACTTGAAATCAAGTTTAGGATGGCCCAGGAAACAAAATCTTCTTAGATGCCAGATCAAATTTGACCTAAGTTGTACATTCTGATATCTTGATCTTTAACATTTAAATCAGAACAAAATGTACTTTACACTATGACTGTTTCCAGTGTCACTTGGATGTTTTGATCCATCTGGGCCTATTTCCTTATTTAATTGAAGATCTGACCTTTTGATAATTCAGGCAGTCAAGTTTATTGAATTGACTATTATATACTTGTATGAATGCCTTATGTATATTTACATACTAATCATTATGCTTCTAGAAATAATAAACAGGAAATAAGAGGAATAAATACTTGTGATATATACCTTTATGAGAACTGAAAACTGATTTTAAAAAAGAATTCTATATTATAGTATTCACAAACAGTTGCATTCTGGAATTTAATTCTGCCCCAGTGAGCACTGTTCAAATATGGTCTGAATTTCCATAATCCCTTACTTTTGATGATAAGGTAGTTTGCAAGGATTTTAACTTTGAGTCAGAGCTAAGTCAGAACTATAAGCACAGCAGCATAGCAGTTAAAGGCTGATTTAGAGTTGCATGCAACTGCCAGTAACTGTCGCCACATACCTAGACTGCAAAGGGGTTGATGCATAAGTTGTAGATGGTTGTAGACAGGACAATGCAAAGACCTTCCAAATCCCAACTATGGAGATGCATGTCCTGCACACTGATTGGCCAATCTAACTTCTTGTTCTATGCTTTGCTGTTTGAGTATCCCCCAGACAGAACATTAAAATTCACAGACCTATGAATGCAACTGCCTATGAATGACAGACGCATAGGTTCCTTCCCATTTGCTTGACCCTTCAGAACAGATGGGAGAGCCCATTGCTCATGTCACAGGTAACAAAATAGTTACTGGACTCTGGGACAAAATGAGTGCTTACTGAATAGAATCTGAGAAGAAGAGGAAGTTGGTACGATAAGAAGTAGTTTCTCCATCAAGAGATACTTTGGGAAGAAGATAGAAGAGGGAAAACAATTGTTGGGAAATTCTTGTTGATTGACCATAAGTCTGGCAATGAGAAAATTAGTATACTGAATAGTAAAAGTATTGGAGATAATTGCATTCCCTTTTACAGGGTGTCTATTAATCAGAACAAATAAGTGTGACAGAAGGATCAATTTCTCAAGTCGTAGCATTTTCCTTAAATTTTGTTGTTGCTCATTTATCTTTAGCATGGCACAAAATATATTTTAAGTGGAATAGATGCATTGCATTTAACAAGAGTTGATTTTTAATATCAACCTTTTAAATTTTTCATTTTAGGATTAGGTTGGAAGAGAGTTTCAAAACCCTGTCACCAACATGTGGCACTTCAAGACTTGGAATGTTCCATGTCACTGGCCTTTTTTTAAAAGAAAAAAAACCCTATTTTTTTCCACATACTAAAACTATTAAAATATTTTCTGGAATACAGAAAAAAACATTTAAACAACAAAACAGGTTTCCCAGTTGATTTGGGGCAACAGTTGGTAAAAATAAAAGCCAGAAAAACAAACATCTAGCATTTATATTAAAAGATGGCGGTTTAATAATTGTGGGATATGTGGTGAATGTTGAGATGTTTACTGGCAATTCTTCAGAATTTAAAAGACCCAAGGGAAAATGTTGGAAAATACTGACATTATAAATACATTTCAAAGCAGAGTGTCCTTAATAAATATTCAAAGGTTCATTCTCAATTCCACCATTAAACCATAGACAATATTTATGGTAATTATTTGCATATAAATGCAAATCTAAGTATTTATTATAAAACATGTTGATATTTTTACTTGACATAATGACCATGAAATAGTGGCATTCACCTGGTGTCTGCCATTACTTAACATATTAATGGGAACTTTCCCCTTGTAAAATAAGAATTCTTGGCAAGAGCAAAGGCACTATATAAAACATTGGGCAAGATTTTCCTTGACTGTGTTGCTCAAGTCAGCGTTTTCCATGCAGTGTTACATGAGCCACAGGTGATACACCGACATATTAGAGATGAGATGTAACTCTCTTCCCCAAATCAGGAAGGGACCCAAGAGAAGGGAAGAAGGGCAGGGTCACTCAGCTGCAGCTGAGTGCTCTGTGGTTAAGAAACTAAATATCTCGGCAGAAGAAGCAACTTTGGAAAGGTTTTGGAATCAAAATAAAATATTGGTTTGGGTTGAACTGGGTTGGTTTGGGTTGAATTAGGTTGAATTGGATTAAGTTGGGTTTGGGTTTGGGTATTTCACATTTAGGGAAAAATTCTCCCACAAACACTGCTTCAGCCCCAGTTATTCCTCCTTCATTTTATGGACACATTTTTTGGTTTCTGATGGAGAAGACTGTTTCCACAAAGATACATACTGTTTCAGCCCGAGTGAGCAATAACTCTTATTCTCATTTACACCTATGCTGTCAGCTGCATTATTGTGAGTTTTAATGTCCTTATTGTTTATTGTTAACTGGTAAATAGAGTAACAGAAAACTTTGAAACATGTATATGCCCTTTTTAAAAGTGCCCTTTGGATTTCCATCTTTGTGAAAGACAAATACTTCAGTACAGTTATTGGTGGTAGGAGTGAAATGTGAAAGTTTAAGTACGACTATTTTAAACTAAACTGCTATTTTTAAAGTAATCCACAATAATCTCTGTTTACTAATTCCAGTAATTCAGTGCCCTATAATAAACCAAATCAACAGCTTAAGCTTTTAGATAAAGCCTAGGTATGAGCTTGCTATTTCTCAAAATGTTAGAATGACTAGTTGTTTCACCCAATGTTCAGAGCCATGCACCTCACTATTCCTCATCAACCTTAACATGTCTTTTCTGACAAAGGATGAGCCTGGAATTCACTTTTTAAATGATGGAGGAAAGGGAACACCAGGCAGGAACATAGGATAACTGCTGGAGCGTAGAGCAGGTTCCATCAGTACTGATCTGTAAGACTCAGTTATAGTTTCTTGAGGGATTGGAATAACTCTACAGTGCCACGTCAGGTAGTAATCTGTGAGAATGCACTTTACTCCAAATCCCCTCAAACATAGAGATCGCACTCAAATGGGAGATGACAACAGTGCTGCTATTCCCTTGCAGAAAACTTTTCAGTATAAATTACAGATGGATTGGTATGGCTTATTTACTTGGAAATGAGAGCTGTAGAACTTTTTCCCCAAGGGCTGAGATCAGTGGTGGGATTCAATTTTTTTTTACTACCAGTTCTGTGGGCGTGGCTTGGTGGGTGTGGCAGGGGAGGATATTGTAAAATCTCCAGCCAGAGGTGGTATTTGCTAGTTCTCTGAACTACTCAAAATTTCTGCTACTGGTTCTCCAGAACTGGTCATAACCTGCTGAATACCACCCCTGGTCGAGATTATAGTTGAGCAGTACTTGGAATGCCATTGTCTGAAGTATGTCGAAGGTCTATTACATAAAGAAGTAAATGTGTAGGATCCCACATCTCACTGAGTAAAAATAGATGACAATTAAATTATTTGACCAGCCTAGACCCCATTAGGCATTTCTGAAATATATTTCACGTTTGTGTAGAAAGTCATAAATAGCTTTTGAGTAGAAAAATCAATAATATCTGATTATATTTTCTTTTTGCTGAAATTTAGGACGAAATGGGATAATGGAGAGCATTTAAATTAAAATAGTTCAGAAAATCAAATATAATATTTTTCATTAAAAAGTTTAAGATTTGGAATTCTAATCAACTTTGTATTTTACTCTTAAATCAAAAATTAATCTTTAATAACATTCTTTTTTGTACACTAACTTCTATTATGCATATCAGAGTAACTCAGCATAGTTCTGGTTCAAATGTGGACATGCCAATGTATGTTTGTTCAAGTGAGGAGAAACTTGTAAACAGCACCAAATATTGCATTAACTATATTAATGAGGACAAGCCTGTTATCTCCCTTTTATTGCAGTAGCAATTCTTCCACCCTGTTCAGATAAAGGAA